TTATAAGTGAGACACTCAAGTTTTAGCAAACAACCTACACATAATTATTATTATTCATAATGATAAGTTATGAATTCTGGGTTAGACACCAGGCCTCCCTTGAGGAAATCAGTATTAACTATAAAACAAACACAAGTTCTATCAGTAGAACCATTGCCCCCACAAGATTAATTTCATTTTCACTGCATGGGCTTTGGTGAGACACATACCTGGGTAAAGAATCTGGCTCAGCCACACGGCCTTTTGTGCGGGTTATTTAAAAACCTGTGTTGCCGTCTCTAAGTTTCCTTCCTTCTCTATAGAATGGGGATTAAAATCACATCTATGTTGTGGTACTGTTGTAAGGGTTAAGAGAAGTCAGGAGTGCAGCTCGGGCACATGAGTTCTCAGGCCCCTCATTAACTGGTGCACGCTGCCCATCTGACTTTGCAATGCTCTATCCACTGCCTTCTGGTGTCTCCAATCTAGACTTTATTCATACTTTCCACTTCATCCAATTAACCTGTTTTGGGTATGGAATCATGGTCCTTTCCCAGTAAGATTTTAAGAAAGCAAAATGACTCTGAATTCTAGTGTTTTTTCCTATTCTGCTACCACTCATCGATATATCACTGACTCTTAAACCAACATTCACAACAGAGAAGTTATAATGCTTCAACTCTCAGGTGAACATGGGCCAAGTTTTCTTTTTACCTTTCTTCTGGTGACCTTGAATGCTACTCCCATTAGTGGACTGACTTACTTTTATTTCTTGCCCTCCCCATTCTGCCATTGTCCCAGTCACTCTGGCTGTCCATCAAAAGAAAGGATTGTTCTTTAGACATTTAGCTTTCTTATTTAAATTTAATCCTCTATATCTCAGATCTTTCTGAATAGCATTTAGATTATAAAGGCACATCTCAATTCGTAGCAGGAAAAGCCTTGCTCTCTATTATACCAGTTGTTTAGCAGCTGGTAGGTGAGAACGGAAGGGCATATTGTAGGGGCAGGGAGATCTTCACGAGCTCATAAACACTTTACCTAGGCAGTTGCCTACACCCTCTGCCCACGTGGAAAGCGATAAAAAATACACACACCAAAATCTAGATCCCAGTAGCTCAGGAGCCTCAGTGCATCTGCCTTTGAAGAATTGATAATATACTTGTGGAGAATTTTGAAAACATTTTATTAATATTTTTACACTTTATTTGCTTTCAAATTTCTACAACTGTATGTTTCACAGTGCAGGAAATACACAATCCAAGTAGCACATTAAATCAACACATCTCCATCATGTCCATACAACGTAGGCAGTGCTACCACTGGCAACAGTCAGTTTCCCTTGGACAGCACTACCAAAGTACTTCCAGCACCTCAGTAAAAAGAGGAAAAGAGGGAAAATAATTACAACTAGACTGGAAAATGGAAAGGGTTGGTTCAAATTCAAAATACTGCCTGGCTCAAAATAGTGCAGGTTACCTCTCCTTCCCTTCAAGACTTCAGGCAAACAAATTGCTACCATCTGGATGGACCATTTCCAGTGGGGGAAGGAGGCCAGCTTCGGCAAGATCCTGGGAAGACAGGTCCTCTCTGACATGGCAGGAGCAGGGCTGCGGTTGCGAGTGTGCACACAAGAGTGTGTGTGTGTGTGTGTGTGAGAGAGAGAGAGAGAGAGAGAGAGAAGGATAGAGGAAATAACTCCAAGGGGAAGAGTGGTTTTGTGGTGCAGGCAAATATTTTACTAAGTCAGCTAAATTGGTCATCACTGAACAAAGAAGCTGCTTGTTTTCTAATTTAAGGTTTTGGCTTCCCAGAAAAATGTGAATAATACCAAGGAATTCCCATATGTTCTACAGCACAGTTTATCCTATTTAAAAAGCCCAGAGAAGTTTGTGTTTGAATTTCTCCTCTCAGCGAACCTATTCTTTAAGAGTCAAGGGCTGGGCTGACAGACACAGATCAGGAATCATAGCTAAGGTCATTCCACAGCTGACACCCAGAGTCTGAGTCCTCGGGAGGTGGGGTACCGTGGGGGAAGTATGGGAGGCGGGTAGGAGAGCTGACTCTGCCGCAGATAGCTCAGGGAGCCCAGGCAAGTCTCTTCTCTCTTGGGGCCTTGCCTTTTCTTCTGTAAATCAAACCGTGGATGTGATGATAACTAAGGTGCCTTCCGGCTCCAGGATTACATAAAGCAAAGCGCAATGAGGAGAATAATACTCCAGCATGTCATTCTCAGATTAAACAGACGTGCTCATCATCTCACATTTATACCACATACAGTCAGAGGACAGAGCAAGTAGTTGAGGTTCTGAAATAAGCACAACCACTTGGCACTGGTCCCACTTGAGTGTTTTAGATAAAGCAAGCATCTCTATGAAAATCCCACAGTCAAAACTGGCATATGTTTAAGAAAAAAGGCAAAGATACAAACCTGCTGAAACCTCTCTGGTAAAGATTTCGTGTAGGCCTTGCTAGTTCATTTCATGTTCTTGCTTTTTTTTTTTTTCCTTTTTAAAAAATTTTTGATCTATATCTCTTGGGGGTGGGACACTATTATGATTCGAGGGACTTCATCCAGCAAATGCAAGCACATAACCTGGCTTTTTGTACCTTCAATGATTCCCCAACAATAAAAATAAAAAATAAATAAATAAATAAATTTTGGGGGTCTATTTTATCACACTGTATGAGAACAAGGCCTTGGGGCCCTTGTAAGATTTTTCCCTCTGATGTTACTGTATATGTATGGCTCATATTTCTTCCATTTCTAGGTCTCTTAGAGTCATTTAGATGCTTAGGTCGCCTTCTAGGTACTAAATAGAAATAATTGAACCCTGGATTAGAACTAACCGATAAGCACACATGTGCGTAGAAGGAAGTTAAACTCAATGGAAATCAACCAGGGAGTGGGAGGAGATGAAAACCTACCTAACAGGTACAGTGAACGCTATCTGGGTGATGGGCGTACTGTAACCATGAGTCAACTGTTATAAAGGCAATCCACGTAACCAAAAATATTTGTATCCCTGTAATACTTTGAAGTAAAAAAAAATAATTGAACATTTGGAAACCAAACACCATACTTCTATATTGTAGAGACTTCATTTGGGGAATTTTCCAGGAAATGTCAAGTATTTTTGCATCTCATTTAATACAATCATCAACTATCACTTTGTTATTTAAATTTTTCATCACTTCTTTATGTTATACTTTTTTTAAAAACTATTTTAGGACATAAAGTTTTGATTTTAATTAACACTACTCTTTCAAATAAGTGTATTAGTTTTACATAATATCATCATATCACTTCATTTAATGTTCCTAGTCCTACACCCTTCATTAAAACTATTACCAACATGGTTTCAGCAATTTCTTTTAGTGGCATTAATATCATCTTTACATATTCTATTTTTTAATAAGATATCAACAATTTGGTCATTTTCTTCCAGTTTTATTCTATATAACCGTTTTGATTGCATTAGCTGATTTATCTCTATCCTATTAACTCAGTTGGGTTTTCCAAATTTTCTACTCAAGACTAAAATATTTTGAGATTTAAAAATAATTCTGTATCACAAAGATCAGCAACCCACCAAAAGTGAGGAGAACAGAAACAGCCACCAAAGGGGTTGTTAACTTTCCACTGTATTTGTGATGTGATTACAAGACATGCTTTTGGGTAGTTCTGGATAGCTTCTTCCACGGATTATAATGAAGTGTGTCAAAATAATCTTGTGAAATGCACTGGGCCAAATTTGGATGGTTAATAGTCTATTTGATCATTTTTTAAATATCAAGGGTACTGGAACTCCATGGAATAAGAAAAGACTCTACGCTTGTCAGATTGCCCAGCAAATCCAGGCCCTTGAGCACCTGTGCCTTCCAGACTCTCGCTCTCTTTTTACCCCTACTGTGCCTAATACACACACAACATAACTTGATAACCAAAGTAGAACCAACAGGACTGAGTCCAACCCAAGTACATCATATAGCACGTACACACACAACTCATGCCAGGAAAAGAAAGTTAAGTTTGGCATAAGGAGGATATGACCTCAGCTTCCAGAGTGGGCAATAAAAAATACAATGAGGATGGCACGGTTCCTCCATATGGTGCATAAATTCATTTTGACCATTAACTAGGCATCACTTTCCTCCTTTGGCTATGAGTGCTTATTTTTAAAGTATAGTCAGCACTGATAAAGTTGGGAGTGATATAGAGGGCTTGTGCTAGGAAGAGAAGCCTATTACAGTTGAGTGCTGATGGATCTTACTCAAAAGGTCACTACAGGGATGACAGGCTGGGAGGAATTTCAGGTTCAACCAATTTTTTTTTCTGATAAATAAATGAGTTTTGTCAGTCAAGGAACAAGTAACTTTGATGGTGTAAGAAATAACTCATAACCATATGACACAAAAGAAAGTCTTTCCACTAAGACTTTTTAGAAAAAAATATGTAACTCTTTAGAAGAATATTGCTAATATCAAATCAATATACCAAAGTTAATGCAATCAATATCAAGTAGGTTAGGAAATGATACAGGCATTTTTTTCATGCTGATGGTGAAGAAATTTCCAGGGTTTTGGTTCACGTATTCAATTTAAGATTTATCAGAAATGAAAATGTCTCTTCTCATTATTTTCACTGTAATTTATGGATTATTATTATATTATATAATTATATATATTATATATTTACAATTATATATAAATTATATATAATTATAAATATAATTATATATATTATTACATATTATTATTCTGATTTTTTCATCGCAACCCTGGATTATAACTTTGTCAAAGAATAATTTGATAAGAGTAGATATCTTTAAATAATTTAGCCTACTAACATTTCAAATTTTTTTCCAAATGTTAAACATAAGGTTTTTCAGCAGTGTACTGATGAGTACGGGTTAATTGGAATACAAGTCCCATTGTCTGCAAGGTATTGATTGCCTTGGTTTTCTCAGCTGGATTGCTCCCAAAGTACAGATCAGAAGAAGAAGTTCTCCATCACCTACCTGACATAGAGGGAGCGTTTCTGATTGGTTCGTAGGGACCCGGACCCGGAGCTCATGCTGTGGTTCATCATCTGCTCTCGTAGGTCATGGATTTTGGCCTCAAATCGAGCGTAATCTGGGAATGGAAGCAAAGATGGTAAATTTGGTTTTGTACCTTCAGAAAGTTAGAGGCAGCCCTGCACTAGGGAGACACCCAGCTCAAGAAGGATACGCCTGCTCACTATCATTTATTCACAGCCATTCACAAGTGGGGAAAGAAAAACCAGTTACTTTCCAAAAGATACCTAGAAAACATGCTGCTATCAAATTTATAATCTGTGAGAAGTTCACAGGAGGATGGCAAGTGGTAAGGGACGATGTGGGGGGGGGCATGGGGACAGAGGGAGATGGATGTGGTTATAAACAGGGAACACAATGTGTCCTTTGGTGATGGAAATGTTTTCTATCTTACTGGTAGAGGTAGATTCAGGCAAATGCACATGTGATACATTACACAGAACTAAACTCATACACGAATGCACACACGCAAATGAATACAAGTAAAGCTGAGAAAATCTATAGCAGATTGGTGGGTTGTGCCAATGTTGATATCTGGTATGCTTTACGTGCTATAGTTTTGCAAAATGTAACTACTGGGGGAAACTGAGTAAAGAACACATGGGATCTCCCTGTGTTACTTCATACAACTGCATGTGAATCTACAACAATCTCAAAATAAAAGCTCAATTTATAAAGAGAGAATGTGGACATGCAAAACAAAAACAAGAAACAACAAAGAAACAACCGTCCATGGTACCTCCAATACTATGGGGTACTGAAGGGTGCCTCCAGTTACTCTTAGTCTGATGCACCAGAGAATCAAGCATGTGCTGGTGAATTGTATAAGATATGCCATCTAATTTAAATAAGATTTTTTCTGCTGCGGGTGCTGCCGGAAATAGACCACTTGGGAGTCATACTGCAATTTGTCACTGTAACTCTGCCCAAGAGCCAAATTTTATCAATTCTAAGACGGAGATTGGGGTTAAAAATGGGGGTAGAAAACACAATCACATTAAATACATTTCAGAAACACTCAAACTTGAAAAAATACATGGGTATAAAATATCAAAAAAAATAGGAATCATCGCTACTTCTTCATAGAAGGAATATTTTTGGCATATCAATCCAATAAAAATTAAAAAGCACAAATAGGTTTTTAGATATTTATTAACACAAAGAGCACCAAAAAAGGAAACCACTTTTGAAGTTTTGTTTTATTTTATTTCATTATTATTATTATTATTATTAGAGACAGAGCCTCACTCTTGTTGCCCAGGCTAGAGTGCCATGGCGTCAGCCTAGTTCCCTGCAGCCTCAAACTCCTAGGGCAAGCGATCCTTCTGCCTCTGCTTCCTGAGTACCGGCAACTACAGACATGTGCTACAATGCCCAGCTAATTTTTCTATTTTTTGTAGAGATGGGGTGTGAAGTTTTAATAATTTTGATCACAACCTAGAAACTTTTCTATCATTTCCTTGGCAAAACAGTGTCATGCTTTAGGAAAACTCAGTAGACTTAACTTATCCACAGATACATTTGAAAATGTTAATTCAAATTATAAATGGCTTTTTTAATTATAAAGAAACTCACCATGAAGAATTTTAATAGAAGTCCTCTTTTCGAAAAACAATTTGATTTTCAGTTCAATTTATTCAGTGTTCATGAAAAACAAGGATGACTAAATGAATATAATAAAAGATAATCTGTTTACAGAGTGTTTCAAATTGCTTATAACAAAAAGTTCCATAAAATTAAATTTAAGTTCAATTTACTGAGTATCTATTGGTCACTGCAGGGAGAATTTTCCCAAAAGATTAGTTTTCAACAATGAATAGACAACAGGACAATAAACTCTGTCTGTTAAATATTTTTAAAGTTCAATATTCTTAAGATAAAGTCATAAGCTAGCTGGGAATTTCTGGTGCTTTAGCAATGTCTGGTATTATCCACATTTGGAAAGCTTCCTGCTAAAACATAGTTTTTAATAATTAAGTCCTAAACGATTAAATAAGCAGAACACATATTTAACTATATAATTAACCTAAGATCTATTAAGAATAAAATGAAAATTTATTTCATTCCATTTTACCAGAGAGATTAGACACTTATTTAAAACCACCGATAGGATACTGTATGCAGTTCTAAATCATTTGAACAAGTCATATTATCTTTCTGCCCTAAAAGAGTCAATTAACATTTACTGCAGGTCACATGGCAGACACTATGCTTAGTGCTTCATGGGCATTTTCTCACTTATTTTTTAAATTTGAAAGTGAATTTCTTGGAAAATTTGAGACCATATAGAACAAAGGATAAGAATTATGAGGTTGGCAGCTCCTATAGCTCAGTGGGTTGGGTGCCGGCCACATACACTGAGGCTGGCGGGTTCAAACCCAGCCCAGGCCAGCTAAAACAACAATGACAACTGCAACCAAAAAAGTAGCCGGGCATTGTGGCAGGTGCCGTAGTCCCAGTTATTTGCGAGGCCGAGGCAAGAGAAATCGCTTAAGCCCAAGGGTTTTAGGTTTCTGTGAACTGTGATGCCACGGCACTCTACCCAGGGCCAGGGTGACAGCTTGAGACTCTGTCTTAAAAAAAAAAAAAAAAAGAAGGAAGAAAAGAGTGAAGAGGTTATCTTGCCCCACCTCCTTTCCTCTTTCTTTTCTCACTGCTTCCCTTCCCTGCAGCTTACCCTAGAGGTCCAGCTGTGGTTGTGAGCCGCACACATTTGTGTGTTTGTGTCTGTGCACAGGAGACCACAACTATTGTGCTAAGACTTTTTTTGTTCTTTTTAAACAATGTACCTGTATCTTTTCCTACCATCTACCAAACACACAGAAATAATTTTTAAGATCCTTAATTGCATTCCATAGTTTGACATTTAGTTAATCTCCTTATCATTAGATATCTGGGCTTGTCTAGCCTCTTATGTTTATTAATATAAACAGAGATCTCAGTGCATACTGCACAGCATGGCAGGCTAGTAGAGCACTGGAAGCGGAGGTACTCGTCACAGTGTGGCACAAAAATCATACAACAGCCATTTATATTTCTCAGAGAAGAAAATGGTGTGGTCTGGGACACAGCAGGAATTCCTGGCTTCTTCTAATCCAAGCTCCACATTGTTACTGGCTGAATACCATGGGTTGGCCCCTACCTAGGGTAGGAGTAGGGTAGTCCTAGGGTAGGACTCTCTCCTTTACAACTTTGATGAACTCGCTACCCACGATAAAAGCATGAACTCTCACCTGCTAAGTCTTTACCCCTAAGCACCCTAGTCAGTGCCAGTCCCCAATTCTCGTTTAACCACTTAGCCACTTTATTGGATTTATCACATGAACACACAATTACGTGTGTAGTTCCCGTGGTCCCCTTCAACTGAGCTCTCTGAGGGCAGAAGCTATGTCTCATTTTCCTGGGAATTCCCTGCTGCTAACACAGTGTCTGATGTGCAGAGAGGCATTTAATAGTAGGTGCTCAGGGAACATTCTCTGAATGAATGAAGAATGAGGGAGTGAGCAGAATCATTAGATGAATTTAGCTATAAAATGGCTGCAGGTACTGAAATCGCTCACTTTCTATGTTATGTTTTTGCAGTGAAGAAAGACAACGTGCACCTCTTCTAGTACTACTTTTTTCAAAACTAAATGTAGTAGAATCTCTGTAAGTTCACTGTTACTCAAAGACTGGAGGTGGCCAACAGAAGGAGCTAGGCCTACTGTACTGATACGTACATGCGAAGCATGTCCAGTCTATGAAAACCAGGTGAACTTAAGAAGGTGGTCAATGTGGAGAAGTGGTCAGCTATGGAGGTTCTACTGTATTCAATTCCAAGGCTTTATTTCTGTCAATTCACTGCCACTTCCAAATCCCTTCATTATTTTTTATTGTTCTGAAAAGATCTCTGTGATCCCCTCATCTTAGTCACGTGGTACACTGGACACTTAAGCCGTGTACATACAATCAACACTCCATTAGGCTCTTGTAGCCGCCACATTTTATGTAACACAGCAGGGTACTTGCGGCAATAAAAAATTGTATGTGCCTTACTGTATGACTCACTAGATGCCGGAGATGTTGTCTGCCATGCTTTTGAAATGTTAGGTCGGTATCATATTCTATGGTGTTTAAATTCTTCACTGTGGATGATTTATATTGAATTTGCCTTAGTTGGAATCCATCCTGTTTTCAATTTCCCTACTTCAACACACATTTTCATCCTAGATCCTCTATTCAAAAGCACTTATCTCTCTTCTTGCTCCTTTTGGAAAAATAAAACAAATACAGGTACAAGTAATTTCATCAGAGCAAAAAACCAATAAAATCAGGGTTTATAAATATAAATGGTGTGTGTGTAGCAAGGAAGCTCTGTCTCCAGCCTCTCAGAGATAAACAAGTTTATAGGTAGAAATGCTCTAGAAATAAACAGTCAACCAGCTACATAGATTGTCTTTTTTAATGCTTTATAAAGGTACTAAAATTCACATTTGTTTCACAAGTTAAAAAAGAAAAACCTAACACTACCATATCCATTTCTCTCCCTTTCTCTAATATTTTGCTCATAGCTTTCCTCTCCCCTTTGGAATGTTTTTCAGTCAAGTTCCTACCACTCTCTTGATTCCAAATCTCAAGAGAACATTCAAATGAGATTTTGAAATGCTCCAGTCTCCTATCATCTAAAGGGGAATTCATGTTTACTGAACACTTGCAATGAGCTAGGATCTATACTACATGCATTAAAAATTACATTATTTCTCCTACGAAAGTTCTGATTTAGGTATACTATTTTGCAGATGAGAAAACAGAGGTTTAGGGAGGTTAACTAACTTCACCAAAGTCACAGAGCTACTAGGGAATAGAGCTCATTGGACATAGAGCTCGGATCTCTGTGAAGCCATTGTTTCCACATGGCAACGCGTCTCCTTTAGGACAGAAGGCCCCCCAGTTCTGTACTCCTTTCTCGTAACATTTTGCTCTTCCCTTCATCTACCAGATAAGTTCTGTGCACGTCGATCTTTTCCTCTCTTCTACCATCAGCTCCTTGGAGAGTGGGAACCCCTCCCTCACCTGTTT